TGACGTGTGCCCGTTTCCTCTCGGCCGTAAGAGATGACGTGTGCCCGTTTCCTCTCGGCCGTAAGAGATGACGTGTGCCCGTTTCTTATATCATACATTAACTAAATGTAATGCCCAGACTTTGGAGTCTGAAGTCTACAGCACAGCTTAAAGGCCAGGATGACTAAGTACAGGAGTGTGTTACTGCAGCACTGTGGCATAATACATATACTGAATGAAGTCTAAGGACATGCCTTCCTTTAATATGGCATAAATTGATGTTAAATCGAGTAATAAGGGACTCATATTAGTATGTCACTGTGGTGGTTACGGCTTAGTTCAGAAATGTAAATAAGCATAAATCCCAGGGAAAGGAAAAGAATTGACAGATAGGTCAGGTATTTCTGTTTTTATTTGAAATTTTAGTAAACTGTATACCAGGTTGGCAAAACCAAACCAAAAGAAAAAGTTTACACTGTACATTTAGTGGTCAAAAATATTTTGAAGCCTTGTGCTTTTACAAATTCTCTAAGGGTTTGATTATTCTCAGTGCGTACAGTCACCTCTTACTCCAACCAAAAAACAGCCTAACATGAAATCCCATTGGGGGGCGGGCATATGTACAAATTTGAGAGGGGGGTGTGGTTCTCAGAAAGCAGTGAAGGCGGTCCAAGGGGAGAGCATCTGTGGCCTGTCCCCCACACCCCTCCTTGGCCTGCCTCCAGCGATTCACCACTTCCCCACATTTGGTTCGGACGGGTCGTTGCCATTCGTTACACGGTTAAGACATGGTTAAGAAGTAAAGCGCACGGGCTCCACAGGGAAGCTGCCAGCGACATCTATGTCAGCTTCTTGATCTCGTCGTACAGCACCAGCACGAAGGCTCCACCCATGCCCCTGATCACATTGGACCAGGCTCCCTTAAAGAAAGCCCTGCCGCCTTCATCTTTTAAAATCTTCCTCCAGCAGTCAAGTGTGCCCTTGTACATAATGTCAGCTGCAGAAGAAGAACAGGCACATTAGCCCCCTGTACGCACTTCCCAGACACCCCGGCAGCTCATCGGTGGACGAAACCGAAGGAAGAATGCACAGTAGTTGGCAGAGAACGGTCAATAGGTGTCAATGAGCCCCATGATGTCCTCCTTACCTCCTTTGCGGCCCGACTGCATCATCATACGACGTCTGACGGTGTCAAATGGGTAGGAAACGAGCCCAGCAGCCGCCGTCACAGACTGGGCGATCATCCAGCTGATGAAGATGTGCACATTTTTGGGGTCTGGCAGCATGCCTGAGGACAGAGGGGCACGTTGGTCGCCAAGCCGCGTGATGTCATTGCGACATCACGTTTCCCACATGACAGGTCGAGCGTGCCCGCCTTACCTTTAGCCGTGTCATAGACCCCGAAGTAGGCGGCTCTGTAGATGATGATTCCCTGCACAGACACGTTGAAGCCCTGGTAGAGGCCCTTGATGCCGTCCGACTTGAAGATCTTAGCGATGCAGTTGCCCAGACCGGTGAACTCCCTCTCTGCCAGGCCCTTGCCGATGTCGGCCGCCAGCCTGGTCCTGGCGAAGTCGAGTGGGTACACGAAGCACAGGGAGGTGGCGCCGGCAGCCCCCCCCGACGCCAGGTTCCCGGCGAAATAGCGCCAGAACTGTGTCTTCTGGTCCACCCCTCCCAGGAAGATCTTCTTATACTTGTCCTTGAAGGCAAAGTTGAGTGCTTGGGTGGGGAAGTAGCGGATCACATTGGCCAGGTTGCCGCGCCAGAAGGACAGGAAGCCCTGCTCCTTGGGGATTCGCACCACGCAGTCCATGATCCCTTTGTACTGCATGTCTGCTGTGATCTGTTTGCTCGCATGTTGCACCTGCAGGGCACAGACAGGAACAAAAACCACTCCGGTAAATTCCGTGTAGCTCTGTGGGCAGATTCATTACTCTGATTTGAATGATTTGTGATGTGTTTATAACACAACCAGTTGAGTATAAAGAGTCAGTCACAAAGTAGTCAACTGGTTGGTTGAAAAAATATCCTGGTCTGAATTTGTACTTTCTGAACCCAAACATTTCATCTCTGGTTTTTAAAATGGATGCCAAACTAGGCATTACAAGAAAATACGATGAAACTCGATATACTGAATGTCTTTAATCACCGAGAGTATATATGAGCACTGGATGAATTCATTTGCTTTATTCCGGCTTATAAATACAACTTTATTGTCCTGCTTATACGTTTAATTCAGCAGCGTCTCTGGGCTGTTTTAATATGCAGGCAATTAAGTTTGTCTTCTTTCATGCAATACCTCCCGCCTACCACTTAACTCGATTTTTCATTCTTTTACCGTCAGCTTTATACGTTAAATTGTCCGTTGTCGGTGGGGATCGCCTCATTCAGTTGAGGCCAGCAGGGATTTGGTTGCGCACATACCACTCAGTGCTAAATTTAGGAGCGTCGGCATTAGGGGACCGTGCACGCGCTGCAGAGTCCGCTGGACCCCGGCGGCCGCGCGTCACCCCCTAGGCAAGATGCGGTAAGATTCATTTCGCCGTCTATCTCATATTCACATACGAAAAGGCGGGTTCAAATCAACACAACCGCCTCCCAAAAGTTATGCAAGTGTAGGCCCATGTGTTTTAATTGAGCTTTAAAATGCATGTAGAGTAGTTTTATGATTTTCAACATATCTGAACTTTAATGCACGAACAAAAAATAGCACCATGGAGAGCGAACTGGAGCTGCGGCCGGCGGTAATAAAAAACTTCTCCATATATAGGGGTGCTACACGATAATATCAAATAACAAACAAACCTGTGTATTATTGATTAATGAAAGACTACTTTTTATTACTTTAAAGATTAAATTAAAATATTCTCTTCATTAACAAACGCGGTTTAAGAGAATGGTCGCGGCTGTGAGCAGGACCCGGCATAAAATGTCATAGATGCGTGGAAGGGCGGTTTTTTAATAAGAAGATTAATTCACACTGGGTTGATAAAGTGGTTTGCGAATGTTCCGTGTTTAGTATTCTGCACAAGTCTTAAATAGAGTTCGGTCGCACTCATCCACTTCACCTTACCTGCAGCAACAGTTTGACTCTTTCAATCGGGGCTACGGCCGTTTTGGAGATGGCAGCGGCGATGCCGCCGGCCAAAAAGTCCTTGAGGAAGCTGACCACTGCGTCCGTCATTTTCCGTCTTCCTTCGCGCTGCCGTGAGACCCCACCAAATGGACGATGGCCTCCCTTCCTTCCTAATATATCCAGCCCGCTTAAGGCGTGACGCAAAGGTGACGGAAAGTCAAACGGTCTAACAGATTGGAGAAGCTGAATAAATTTCCTAGGTCACAGTTCAGTTTATACGCCATATTAATTCATAAAACGTTCCAAGACTTCCTTTGGGGACGTTTAAAGGACAAATTAGTTATTTTTCCCGGGTCAGCAAGGACCTATTGATATGAAATCATTTTGGCCCCATTTTTGAACAATTAATTTTGATTATGCAATGTCCTATAGCATTCTTCCAATCTGATATTTCTAAAATATAACTAGGTATATAATATAGTCCACATTTTCATTTAAGTCAATCATACAACATAACTTGTTTGTAGTTGTTTACCTACCTTAAGCTTTATTTGAAATGTATAAATATTCCTGTCTTATTGAAAGGTTGTGAGTTTGGTGGAGAATTCTTCCTTTTAAATGCTATTTCTTGTCTGCAACACAACTGACCTTCACTGAGCCAAAAGGAAATCATTATGGGGGAGGGGGGGCATCACACCGATGCTGAACATGACCAGAGAAGTTTGTTTTATTTTCTTAGTAATCATCATGTTTCTCTGTGGAAGTGTGGACAGGCCTTTCCTGCTAGGGTTTGTGAAATACAGTGAAGTGCTGCTTCTGTAAAGCATGTTGACAGGGAGTCTACCTGCCTAAATTTGTCCTGTTCTGTCCCCGGGGTACAGGAAGCAGAGAGGGACATCTCCCCAGCCTCGTGACACGACCTTAATGTCATCTTCAGACGTCAGCTGCATGCCAAGTAAGCGCATCTGCCACATGCTCAGCAAAGGGTGCCGTCATGCATGCAGCTACGACCAAATGCTGCACCCTGACCCATAACTGCCCAGTAAAGCAGAACTTGGGACGGATCCTTACACTGAAGGCTGCAGCGTGTTTGATTTTACCTACTGCAGTTGCATTGCAAGCACGTTTATCCAGTGGCCATCAAACATGTACCCAAACTCATGTGTTCATGAGTCCAGTGGAGAAGCAGAGTTTTGCCTTAACCACTGAGACCCCTGGTGGTTGAGGCTGGTACACAACCCCCCTCAAATGCAGACTGTTCCTGACTCATGCAAGAATGTTGTTTCCACACCATGGCTCACCTACCAGCATCCCTGTCTTCCTCATTTTCCCTTCATACTGTCGAGCAGGCAGTGCACTGCATATCTGCGCATATAAACCCACAGTCAGTAATTATAGATCATGGCAATAGTGGCTGTGTTGGTGGCGTCGCTCGGATACTGGGGTGAGTGTTGTCATTATCCTGTCCTTATCTGACACCATTCAGTCAGACAATGGATCACAAATGCTAGCATCTGCAATTAAATCACAGATAAGTGCTTAAATTGCAGCTCACGGCACGGTTTCGCCGTTGCATTTGCAGTTCCAGGACGGCCTGGCCACCGTGCCTTCCTTTCAGTGCATGTAGCTGTGAGTGCGTTGACCAGTGCTGTGCATGTCCTGACCGCAGCACCACCTGTTCATACAGTAGCACATTCAAAAGGGGATTGGGTAAGCCTGACCTGCCCCCCTTCCCATCAACCGCCTACCTGAAAAGTGTCCAACCATGCCTTGACTGTGAGGTGTGAAAGGTTTGGGGGGCTCAGTCTGTGACTAAGCCAGCTGGAAGGTACAGGTGTGAAATGACGTTTTCTCCATCAAATTATGCTTCTGCCTCTGTTCCACCTGCCTCATGTCTTTCCTGCCATCCCCATACATAGGTCTGCTGTGTACTGCAATATTTTTGTCCTCTCATTTTACGTATGTTTTATAATCTAATCTGCACAAAACACAAAAGACCATTTTAATTCACAGATTCATTGGGTCAATTGAATAAAAGACGCGTGGTCGTACATGATAGAAAACACGTGTTTATTCAAATATATGCAGTGGCAGTTTATACAGAGAGAGTATTGATATAGTGGTCGCTTGTTGCTTGTGTGGCCTATTGAAGCGCTCTCGTGTTCGTGCTGCGCCGGCGCTCTTAGCGGGGCGCTGCGTAGCGACTGCGGCTCTCGGTTTGATCCGTCGTGGCGCATGCGCGAGGCAAGTAATAACTGCACGCCTTGGAACTATTTTTATGAACACAGTTACGGTGCCATGTTACTTAAAACCCTTGTAACAATCGTCTGTTTTTAAAAACCCAGTCATGGCTGCAATGGATCTTTAAAAGTATCTGCGACGAATGAAAATCTGTATTAATATCAATGAGTTTGTAAAATTATTATTAGCCTAGCTGTGCGTCTGTTTGCTACATATGCATGGTTTAAAGGGTTTTATGATTAAGACGAGGTAGAACATTGATTTGGATGTATTACATATTTGGTTTAAGTGGCAGTCATCAGTTTCATATAGGCTTTCAAGCTGAAAACCGACGAAAGAAAAAAAGTTTAATTGGAAGAATGACAAAATCGAAGCAGGCCATTTGTGATTTACATGCTTAGGAAAGTACAGCGACTCCCCACAGTGTATAAGAAGTGGGAATATTAAAGGGATAAGCTGGTAATTTGATTGTGTTCCATTCTCCGGTTTCGAATGAAACTTACATAATACATCACATGCCAATTTGTCGAGGAGACGGGAGCGCATGGTGTTGCCAGTGGCAACCTGTCAGTGTTTCTGTAAAAACACTGGTAGGATGAGATTTAGGGCACAACGCTTGCAAAGGACTTTCGGTCCAAACAGACCTAAATGTATGCAGCGCGTGCATTATAGACTAATATGTTTAATTAACTAGGTGGGCTATATTTTCACGATTATACCTTCAACAATCTAGTACAGTTAGAGTATATACTTTGAGATTGCTGAGCAGTTTTCCTTGAACTGGGACGGCAATAACACATCCCATAAGACTATTATTAGTAGACAGCATGACCGGTGCTCGAACGGCGGGCCGCCTAACTCCAGGCGCTTCACTTCGGCTTCCAATTATTCAGCACAAGCTGTCAAGGATGGCAGATCCGGAAAGCATCTCCCTCAAGGGCCACTCCACGAACGGAGCAAAGGAGACGGCTTTCTGCGGGACGTGGGGCGGACGGCCGCTGTCACACGAGGAAGGGTCTCCTCTGTTTAGGAGTCACACGTCTAAAAGTAAGAGGCTCCCCCGATTTGAAAAGGATGCATGGATGGAGGAGGCTCGCCATCCTATGTCTCCGCCACACATCCCCGACGGGGTGGAGGTGACACCCGCCGCGGACCCCGACAAACCGAGGCTGCCCATTTTTGGTTAGTATCAGTTTCACAGGATCAGTCTTAAATACCCAGAACGTCAAACTTTGGCATGATAATGTGGTATCTGCTAAAACACTGGCCAACAGACAGCATTGTTTTACTTTACACACCACTGTGCAGACTATCTTATTATATTTTTCAAAAGTATATATTATAGGCACCGCACAAACTGGAATCCTTGCAAACGGACTTTAACTTCCCATGATACTGAGGCAGTGAGGCGGTTTGACGGTGGTAATCGATAAAGGCGGAAAGTACAAGCTATAATGTTTACGTTGTAATAAATCTTATCTTTAAAAGGAAATACGCACTGTTGTCGAACAGGTTAAAATAGCCTGCTTAACACTGCTATTGTTTAATTGTCCTCGTCATTAAATTATGCACACATATAACTTTTTTCACATTTTTTCAGTTTTTTTTGTATCATGACGACATTGGTCTACAAAACTATATTGTCTCATAAGTTTCTTAATTTAAGAAAACTCTCTGTTTTTGCTGTATAGTGTATTGCGAGTGTTATATTTATATAAGTCGATTCAGCTTAAATCAGAGATACTTCGAAAATAAAACTAAACAATGCGCAGCTCCCCTGTGTAGAAACAGGCTGATGCATTTTTTATTACCACTAAGTGGCGCCATGTTGAAAAGCTTGAAAGCTTTATCCCAGCTTTATCAGGCGGCTTTGCATCCCGATTAGTGGAATGATGGGGAAAGCTTTAAAATGCTGGATCTTTGCCCTGCACAACAGGGATAACAATATACATGTCAAATAAAGGCAAATAATATATATGAAAAATACAATAATGGTAAAGTTACCAAAATAAAGAATAGTCTTCATATTCCCCTTTCTTATCTGGGGTGGCATGACAGTGCAGAGGGTAGCTGCTGCAGGTTCTCCCCTCATTCTACAGGTTCTCCCCTCATTCTACAGGTTCTCCCCCTGACTCTGCAGGTTTCCTCTTGCTCTCCAAATATGTGCATCTAAGGGAACTAGAGTCGCTTACGCATAATGTGTGTGTCCCACTGGAGTGGCATCCCATCGCGGGTGTCTCCCTGCCCCGTGTGCTCCCTGGTATAGGAAACAGGCCCACTATGACCGAATAAGCTGTTGGAAACTGGATGAATCAGCCTTGTTCTTGTCTTCTCGTTAAATGTCCACTGTGAGAGTTAAGCACTCTGGGGTCACGACGGCCTGCACTCTGGGGTCACGGCGGCCTGCACTCTGGGGTCACGGCGGCCTGCACTCTGGGGTCACGGCGGCCTGCACTCTGGGGTCATGGCTGCGCACATTCTGCAGTCATAGCTAACTGCTCCCTCACAGGTCAGCGGGCTGCCACAGGGAGCCGAGCTGAAAGCCTGTCGAGTTGGACCACCTGCAGAACCAGCTTTGCCATGTGTCCAGGAACTCGACTCCGAATCCAGGTGGACCAGGTAAGTGGGCTGAAGGAATAGGAGACACACTAAGGACCTTAACCAGCTGTATGAGGTGGGACATTTGCACAGGTAGTTGTCCCATGGTAATTAATACAGTATCTGATCAGGAGAGAGTCCCTGACTTCAGCTGCCCTTAAAATATTAGGTCGCATATCTATAGCCAGTAGAGGGCGACGTTCGCCACACTCTGTGTCCAGACAGGCCGATGCTTTGTCCTTGTGTTTCTGGGCAGCTGGAGCACGAAGTGCGTGAAAGGCTGCGAGGCGGGGGCTCCGCCCACCTGCGACACCTGTTCAGCAACAACGACCGCAAGGGGCGGGGCCAGATGGACAGGTGAGGGGCGCGCATTCGTACATACACATTCCCCCCAGCAGCCGCTGTCAGCCTGACGCCTCTTCTCCCTCGGCAGAGACTTGCTGCTCCTGGTTCTCACTAAGTTCCTGGGTCGGTTCATCAGTGTCAGACAGTTCCGGCAGCTTCTGCTCAGGTAACCGCCTGCATTGGCAGGGTGACATTGTGAGCTGACAGGCCCTGAAGCAGAGCCGTGGGCCATATCTTACCCACCCCTAGCGCCCCCTGCTGGACAGAGCCCCTCTGTCCTCCCCCCTCGTGCCTGGGCTTCCTTTCCTCACTCTTCATGTCTTTCTCTGTATCTCCTGCCCAACGCACAGACTGCACCTGGCAGAGAAGCCGCTCATCACCTACGAGGAGCTGCGTGCGGTTCTGGGGGCACCAGTTGGCACCCGGTCCCAAGATGCGATCGGACCCATCCAGCAGCCCACCGGCGCCACCTTGTGGACCTCCTCCCAGGTCCATTCACTCCTGCGGGGCCCGGAGCAGAGCAGGTGAAATAAAGCTGTGGGGAGTCCGGACTGTGCCCTCGGCTGGGTTCAGAACCGAACGGGGCCGGCCCAAAGAAGCAGTCGCTTTAATATATCGAGCGTATTCATGAAGCGTCCTCATCAAAGCAGCCGGCAGCCCCTCAAAGCAGATTACTTAACTCATTCTCCTCTCACGGCTGCCATTGTCGCAGTGTTTGTAACAAAAAAAATATATTTAAAAAGCAACTGGGAACAAAGGAAGATAAAGCTGACAGAGGCGTATTTTTGATGGGGGGGGG